GGGATTGAATACAAGTCTCCTGCGACTCCTACATGGACAGGCAGATTCTTTACCACTGAGCCACCCAGGAATCCCAAGGAAGAGTATAAATATCACTAAATGTGAAACCTGAAAGTCTGTTCTTATCTGGGTACTTTCTCTTACTGAGAGGATAAAGTGGTTTAAAGTGGATATTATTGAGGGCACACTTGGTTACACTATTGAGAACTTGAGTTTTTCTCCCTCTTACATGTTGTCCAATTCTGTTCTAAACATTTCTTGACTAGTTTGCTGTCTCTGAGTACTTTTGCAGTTCTGAGATAGAACAGGTGCTGACTGCTGGTTTTGTTGTGGAGGTAAAGATAGAAGACCTTATTCAGAGTCACACATGGGTTCAAATCCTAGGTCTTCTATTCACTAGGAGTAGCTGTGTGATCCAGAAAAAGATATTTAATCACTAGGAAAAGGACTAAAAAGGACTAGGATGACTAGGAAAGGACTAAAATCTGTGTGCACGTGTCAAAGCAAAAGTAATTAATGTGACATTTCAGTGTCACAGAGAAAAAAATACTTGCTAAGGCAAAATTAACATCACAGGTCTAGCACATGAGATATTTCATCAGCAAAAGTGAATTAATGTGAAAGAGAATAGAGAACTCAAGCTTTTGACCTGATTAGTGATATAAAACAATTAGATAATTCTAAAATATGTTTCTTTGTCTGTAAAAATCCTACAAGTAATTCAATCTATAATCCTCATTATTTAATGTAATTCTATTAATTCTATAAAGGCTAATAATACTACAAACATTTTATTTAAAAGTATTAATATTGTTGCTGAACTAAACTCAAGTCCACTTGCCCACTGCACAGCAAAGCCAATCTCCTGACACTATTTTATGGTGAAGGAAAGTGCAGCATTTATTGCAGGGTCCCATAGCAGAATGAGTGGCTTATGCTCAAAGGACTCAAACTCCCCAATAGTTTTCAGGGAAGGTTTTCCTAAGGTAACATTTGGGGTTAGCGTTGTAGGATGCATGACTTTCCTCTGGTTGGTTGATGGTGAGGTAATGGGGTGATGTTTCAGGAATCTTCATCATCAACCTTCTAGTTCCAAACAATTGTCTACCACAATTAGTTACCACCCTCCACCTCGGAGTAGGGGGAGATCTTAGTTTCTGCATAACAACTCAAAAATATGTATCAGATTTGCTGCGTGTCCCTTGAGGAGGAGCTAGAATTCTGTTTTATTGCTGAATTATTGTTTAAGATATCATTGCTTTTCTTTTTTTTCTCAAAAAAGATTATTTATTTATCTGGGTCTTAGTTGCAGTGCATAGGATCTTCATTGCATCATGTGGGATCTTTCGTTTCAGCTCAGAGCATGGCTCAGAAGCATGGTTCAGAACATGGGCGCAGAAGCTGCAGCTCAGGGCCTTAGTTGCTCTGAGGCAGGTGGCATCTTAGTTTTCCAACCAGGGATCGAAACTGCATCCCCTGCAATGCAATGCAGGCTCCCCACCACTGGACTGCCAGAGAAGTCCCTATCATTACTTTTCTAGCTTGACTCTTTGCTTCCGCAGTCCCTCAATTCCCTAATTGGTTGAGTCTGCTCTTTGGATCTCAGGGAAGGCCTAGGAGAGTAAAGCCTTTTTCTACAAACAAGAAATGGGGAGCATGAATGGACTTTTGTACTTGGGAAGGCCCCAGAGGATCTTGCTTAGCTTCAATATTAGATTGAGATTGTTTAGAAACAATTAAATATAGAATTGCTGTGTGTGCTATAGTTAGTTGCTCACTCATGTCCAACTCTTTGCGACCCCATGGACTGTAGCCCACCAGGCTCCTCTGTCCATAGGGATTCTCCAGGCAAGAATACTAGAGTGGGTTGCCATGTCCTCCTCCAGGGGATCTTCCCAATCCAGGATTGAACCCGGGTCTCCTGCACTGTGAGTGGATTCTTTATCATCTGAGCCACCAAGGAAGCCCAAGAATACCGGAGTTGGTAGCCTATCACATCTCCAGGGGATCTTCCCAACCCAGGAATCAAACCAGGGTCTTCTGCATTGCAGGTGGATTCTTTACCAGCTAAGCTACTAGGGAAGCCCAAATACAGAGTTGGTACTAGGTAAATGCCATTTTCCATGTGTTTGCAAATATAATTAAGGGCATGTAATATATAGATAGGTATGCATATGTCTTATTTTACAAATATCCTAATGCCATAGATCCTATAAAAGATACAGGAAATCCAGGAAAATAAGACATTAGTACATGTACATTAAGGCTGTGTATGATTAAGTTTAAAACATTACCACCTTGGGAAATACTGCCTGGAACTTCCATTAACGCATGATCTAAATTGAAGTTGTTAGATCAATATTTGATGTTCCATCCCAAAGAGCCTTAAGATCTTACAGAGAAAATTGCTTTAGATCAAAGAAGTGCACACGTGGCATGGAGTCATGGGGAATCACAATTCAATTTGGGAAGCCCATGTATCTTAGTTGTGATGTGTCAAGAGTTAAATTTGAAACTGTGGGGGAAGAAAAATAATTTTTGCTTTACTCTTCTAAGGTCTTTGGCTGTTATATCCCTGTATTAAAAATACAGATTAATAGGAGGAAACAAATACAAGTTTAATAACCTGCGTACCTCCTGTTTACATGGGAGAGACACAGGAAAACCAAGAAACTCTCTGAAATGACCCAAGCCATCACCTTAAATACCAGCTTCAGCTAAAGGCAAAGGAAGGATGTTGAGCCACTTATGAGAGGTTACCAAGAAAGCCCAGTAAACAAGGAAAGCATAGTAAATACAGATTTAAGTCATTGCCTTCTGCATCAGTTAAGCATTTCTAGAGATTTTAGAGTTATAGTTCTCTTCCTGGTATAGCCAGGGAGACACCCTTACAAATGGAAGCTTTCTTTATAAATGTAAATATGTCTTAGTACAGGGTAATTTCTACCCAGTTTTCAGAGTTTCATAAGTCCCTATTGTTTCTTAAAAAATAATGAGCTTAAAGTCATCAGTATGCCAAAGAGGTATATTTTGGGGTGGTGTAATGTGCTCCCCTTCAAAGTTATTTGTCACATCTTTTCATTTTTTTGTCTTGGGTCTTAAGTCAGCCCACTCTGCCCGCAAACAAGCTGTGATGAAATACAGTATGTCTGTTCTGAAGTGCTCTGGCTCCCATTACAAAGAACATCTATTCTTTGTTCACCAAGGAAGCCCAAAAGATGCTCTAAAATTTTAGGAACTAATCACTGAATGAAGCAGAAAACATAGCGCTAGTGTTAAGGACCACTTCTTCGGTTTATAGTCTTCAAAATTAGGGTGCTATAGAAAGTTCACACACACACACACACACACACACACACAAAAGGGTCCATTTTGTTGTAAGGGTTCAGTTCAAAAAAGGAGCATGAATGTAGATTTCAAGATTTGTTAGAAGAATTAAGTGTTCGCTATCTAAAAGGAAACATCACACTGTGTGTTTATTTTTCTATTATAAGCCTGGTGTTTTGAAAAGCTTTCTTTGGTTTCTTAACTATGGTTGGGTTCATAAAGGAAATTTACTTCCAGAAAAGAAGTCTCTGTATTTTATCTGGAATGGGTAATGAAAACCTTGCTGCTGAGTTGTTCAAGGGAAGAACTATTTATACCGTGAGTTTTAAATAAACCCATGCACTAAGCTCCTATGTTTAAGGATTTAAGCAAATTTTGTAGTACAGCCCCCAGGATATCAGAGGGATCTTCCCTGAACTTAGATTTAGAGGCCTTGCCTTTGAGTTCAGTGTGTTTGTTTGTAATGTATCTGTTAACCAAGTTCTTTTGCTTAGAGACTGCATAAACATTCAAAAGAGAATGACTCAAGTGAGTTCCCCATGGACAAATTAATTTCTGTTTTGTTTTTTTCTTTATTTTACCTCAACATATTTTTAAAAAATATTGATTTTGAAGTTGGTCTTTTTCTCCCAATTCTTTGTACTTTTATTACTGTAAAATGACTGACATTAAAAAAGAACAACACCACCACCTGATTTTGAAAGAGTTTATGGAAAACTAGAATCCCTTATCACTAAAAACTACCCCGCCCTCTTCCCTTGGCGTTTCCCTTTTTCTCTCTTCACTTCAAGTCCCCTCCCCTGACTCCATGTGGATTTTTCTGCACATTGTGACTTCTGACTTGTTCTTGGCAGGGTTTGAGGTTTGCATTTTCTGATAGATAATTTAGAATCACTTAAAAAAGTAAACTTTTTATGTTACAAAAACTTGAGAGTCACAGAATTCTTGCAAAGATAATACTGGGGGATCCCTTAGACCCCACACCCAGTTTCCTCTGTAATTAAAACCTCATGTTAGTGTGGTACATTTGTTATAATTAATGAGCAAATAGTGATACATTATTATTGACTAAGGTCCATGTTTTATTCATATTTCCTCAATTTTCCCCTAATGTCTTTTTTCCGTTTCAGGGTCCCTTCCAGATGCCACATTACATCATTTAGTTGTCATGTGTCCTTAGCTTCCTCTTGACAATGACAATTATTCAGATTTTCCTTGTTTTCGATGACCTGAATAGTTTTAAAGATCATGGGTCAAGCATTTTGAAGAGTGTTTCTCAGCTGGGATGGGTCTGATGTTTTTCTCATTATTAGCCTTGGGTCACGATTTGGGGGAAGGGCGACCCATAGGTCAAGTGCCATTGTTATCCCATCCTATCAAAGATACAAACCATCAGCGTGAATTAGCACTGCTCGATGTTGAGCTTTATTACTTGGCTTCGGATGTTTGTGACGTTAGAATCACATTTTCATTTTTCCCTGAAGATTGGTCAAAGTATTTTCCTGAAGTTTCTAATGATACCATCATTAAAGCTATAAGGAAGCTGGCTTGGGATCGATTTCCTGGTTTTTCTTTCTTGGTGACATTGTAAAGCCGCTATTCATTTCTAAGCAGTTAGGCAAAAATCATTTCAGTGGTGGTAAAAGCATCTTATCTTTTCTCATGTGCTGTAGGTGGGAATGAGATCCCGAAACCAGGGCGGTGAAAGTTCATCCAACGGGCATGTCTCCTGCCCCAAGTCCTCCATCATCAGCAATGCTGCTGATAAAAGTCTCTCAGAAGACACGAAAAAGAAGAACAAATCCAACAGAAAGGAGGATGATGTCATGGCTTCAGGAACTGTCAAACGACACCTAAAACCATCTGGAGAAAGTGAACGGAAAAGTAAGAAATCCTTGGAGTTGTCCAAGGAAGATCTCATCCAGCTACTCAGTATAATGGAAGGGGAGCTACAGGTAGAGTCAAATTTTCTCAGTTGTTGTGTCTTTAGTTTGAAGCTATAAAATAAGAGACTGTGAACCTGTCTCCCTCCGTGCATTGTGAACTTCGTGGGGAAGTGAATGTTTTTCTGTTCCTTCCTAAACCCCTAGTGCCTGGCGCAAGTTTCACTGAATACATTCTTGTTGAATGAATGAACAAATGGATAGAGCTGATTTAATGTCAAGCTTCTCTAAAAGCAGAAAATGTTTTCATGGCACTTTTTTTTTTGAGCTTTTTATTTTGTATTGGGGTATAGCTGAGTAACAATGTTGTGATGGTTTCAGGTGAGCAGTGAAGGGACTCAGCCATACATGTACATGAGTCCATTCTCCCCAGACTCCCCTCCCATCCGGGCTGCTACGTAACATTGAGCAGAGTTCCATGTGCTATACAGTAGGTCCTTGTCAGTTATTCATTTTAAATACAGGAGTGTGTACACAACCACCCTAAGCTCCCTAATTACATGATGTGTTTTTGGTAATAATTTATTAATAGCACTTAGTAGTAGGTAATCAATGAGGTTATCTAATTTAGGGCCACTGGCTATGATTGCAAACTGCGGAAAAGTCATGACTCTTGTTTTTTTAAGTTATTTTTATTTATTCATTTATTTATGGCTGCTCTGGGTCTTTGTTGCTGAGTGTGGGCTTTTCTCTAGTTGTGTCAAGGGAAGACTACTCTCCAGTTTTGGTGGGTGGGCTCCTCGTCGCAGTGGCTCTCTGGCTTTAGGGTGAGTAGGCTTCAGAAGTTGTGGCATACTGGCTTAGTTGTTCTGAGGCATGTGGAATCTTCCTGGACCAGGAATTGAACCCGTGTCCGCTGCACCGGCAAGTGGATTCTTAACCACTGGACCACCAGGGAAGTCCAAAGTCCTGACTCTTAGAAGGCAGAGCTAAGATCAATTGTTACTGTTGCTTTTTTCCAGGAGGTAGGGTAAAAGAGAGATGAAGAGACAGAGGGAAGAGAGGGAGAGAGAAAGAGAAGGAAACTTCATTTAAAGCAGTCTTACACTTTTCTCATTTTGGGGGTGACTTTCAGCTTTAATTTTCTACAATGTCATAGGAGTTGAGATGCACTCAAGTAAGCAGAACATTGTGTTGTGAAAACCTAATCCTTCCACAAAGCATTTTCAAGTCTATTATCTCATTTGATCTCAATAAAAATGTGGGTGCCATTATCTACCATTTATAATGAGGAAACAGGCCCAGAAGGGTTAATGGGTTGGCCAGATGTCATCTTAGGCCTTCAGATTCTTGACCCTGGGCACTTAGCACTGCCCATCCTTCCTCCTTCTGTGGCTGCCAGGGCCCCCGTTAAGAGAATGTTTTTAAGCACTCAAAAGAGAGCTGGGATTCTCTTGAGTTTCTGAACCCTGGAAAATTAGATTTCTGGAAGTGGGAAAACAATAACTTTTTTTTTCTCGAGGAGAGGATGACTTAAGAGTGAGGTTGCTGTTTTCCTTCTTGTTTTTGTTAGGTTCTTAGCTTGCCTAAGCCTCGAGGGGAACACTAACAATTGAATGAGATGAAGCCTTTGTTTGGTGCCCTTAGTATCAGACATAGTATTTGCAACCTACCCTAAACCAGGGGATCTGATCTGTTCCTGTTCTGATCTGTGTGTGCACTCAGATAAGGAAACCCCTGGGGTAAAGAGAAATAGAAAACATGCAAAACTCAAATGAAAAACAATCGAGCATGCCTGAGCTTACCATTTATGGGCTGAGAAAAATCACCTTTGCATTTCAAAGCAAAAGATGAAATTTTCCAGAGCACCACCATTACTAAAAATAGCTTCACCACTGCGAGAAATGTGGTTATTGTTCAGCCTATTAATGTTTATTGTGTCAGGAGACAGAATATATTAGTCCAAATTTTTAGGCTGCCCCCAGAGTACAGCTATTGACCTGAGCGTGACGTACAACAGTAATCTAAGAAATCATTACACAGGAATGTCATCAACTTATTTCTTCCAGACATGGTGGCTTATGTGAAGCTTATGGTTTTTCTAGACTCTAATAATTTCTGGAGAAGGCTCTTATATCATGGTAGACTGTGGACTGTATTTAAGATTCATGTGGCTTTTATCTTGGTGGTATTGCCAGATATGGTTCTAGAGCCTAGGCACGCAAAATAAAAGCCCAGTCACCTGGGACATTAAAGAAATTAGTCAGAAGGCTTCAAAGAAATGCATTTTGCTCTCCCTTAACCTTTGTTAAGGATACCTTACCTTACACAAGATGTATTCCTGAGCAGCAATAAATAAGGAAAGAGTGTAAGATATTTGTTGGAGAGGCAGTGGAGGAAAAGAGAAATGAAGAGCTTGATATTGTAAGGAATGCCATGGGGAATTCATTTGCAAAGCAAGTAATCCATCCCCCTTGTGCATTTCAACACACACACACACACATAAGTACATGCACTGGTAAATGCAGATTTCACAATACTAGACTTGTTAAAAATGAGGGTGTTCCTTTATTTAGAGCTGTAGATTCACTGTCACAGGAGGGTGCGTGTGTGCTGTAGCTGAGAGTGGGAGGCAGTCAGCATTAGCTAATGTGAGTGGGCTGGTGGGAATGTGACAGCTACGTACCAGGTTTGCCACACTACAGACAAGGGGGAAAGGTCTATCTGAAAAAAGATCTGGTGCTGAGAAGAGAGGCAAGGAGTTTAGGGACCCACAGCTCAGGCCTGTATGTTCTGCAGCTTGATGAGTGTTTTATGAGCTTTTAGCGAGTTGTCTCCCTGAGCTTCAAAGGCTACCCATCACCCTCCCTTTATGGAGCAACTGTGAAATGACTCAAACACCTTCCTCTGCAGGTGGTGTTCCAAGATTCTTAAAGTATCAGGGCTGCCAAGCAGCTTTGAGGTGTCTACCCACCTCTCTTATGTTACAAATGTGAAACTGACACTCAAATGAGTTAGGTGACTTGCCCAAGGTCACACAGCAATTTAGTTAACATTTACTCCAAATCTAGCTTCCCTTTCTCTCAGTCCAGTGTCCCTCCTTTAATAGTATTTTTCAATCAGGGGACATGCAAGTGGGGTATGCAGGGCCTTTATATTTATTCTTCAGTCTCCAGAATTCCTTTCAAGTAGACTCACTAAGAGGTGCAGGTTTGATGCTTGGGTCAGGAAGATCACCAGGAGGAAGGCATGGCAACCCACTCCAATGTTCTTGCCTGGAGAATCCCATGGACAGAGGAGCCTGGTGGGCTAGAGTCCATGGGTTTGCAAAGAGTTGGACACGACTGAAGTGACTTCACACAGAGAACTCCAGGGCCAAAGCTATTTTGTAGAAAGATGGTAAGCGAAATTGAGGAAGGTTTCAAAGAGATGGGGTGTGAGCTGGGCCTTGCATTGTGGTGTGATGTGGATCATGAGAAAAAGTGGGGCAGTGGGGAGATGACCACATGGCCATGCGCTGGGTGCCACATTGCCCTGGGGCTTCAGGTCCACTGATCTATGAGGGTCAACCTTTGGCGGGGCTAGAGCTACTGGTCAAAAGCAGAGGGGTGACACACAGACAAAAAGGCGTATAATATTGGAGAGATGAGCTGGAGATCAAGCCTGCCTGTAGGACATGTACCCTGGAAGTAACTTGCAGAGAAAGAAGGAGATGTAGTTTCACTGATATGCTTCACGCCAATTTTCTCTTTCTCAAACTTCTTTGTGATCTTTCTCAATCTTTTCACCTCTGCAGGTTCTGAACACTGCAGACAATTTTCTGTGTTCCTGGTATCAGTGCTCTGTGGCCTTTGGAATCTGTTGTATGTAACCTGTGGGAATCTGTCGAATCAACCTTATGGACAGAATGACCTTTATTGTTAGCACTGGCTCTTTGCAAAATTTGCAGACTTGCTGGGTTTTTATTGTTGTTGTTGCTGTTTGTTTGCTTGCTTTTTGCCAGTAAGGAGGTGTCCAGGGAACTCATGAAGTTCGCCTTAAAAGTGTACATTAGAAATGGAGTTGCCCCTCACAGGGATTTTTGCATTTTAAGGAGTCTTGTGTGGAACTGGTGATGTCGTGCCCTTGGTCTTCAACAGGGACAGCCTTCCAGACTTTTCAAGCCACACCTTAGCAGATGCAAACTTGTCATTTCAGCACAATGTCAGACGGCTTTGCCTGAATAGAAGCAGCTGGAATAGTTTCCATGATTACACTTCTGCTTCCAGTAACATGTACTTTCTAATAAATTGAAATATTTTTACTCTCTGGGTGAAAAACTGGTTACATATTTCCCAGACTAAACTGAAAATAATGAAACAGTACTCCCAGGCCATCCTTTGGGCATCATGATTAATTTCCCCTTGTATTTGTCCAAAAATAGCACTTTTAAGAAGCCAGTCAATTTGCCTTTTTCCAAAGTTCAAAGGAAACAGTACTCACATCAAAAAGCCATAATACAGAATACTTGGCAGAAGGATATTCTTGTAGGATAATTCAAAAACAGAATACTAATGATTTTTCTTGATGCAAAAAATAGCTAACTTTTTTATACAGTAAATTCCCTTGACAGAGCCGCTCAAATACTGTTAGAAAAACAAAACTCAAATTGGGTTTCATCATTTTTTTCCTTCTTGTCTATGTAGGTAGTTCTCTTCTACCTGTGTATAAGGAGGTTCAGAGAATAGGCTTATTAGATAATGTAACTCGACAAGGCACCCCTGAAACAGTGCACCTCAGATTGGGACTTGAACCCACGTCCTGGGAGTCAGACCTGGGCAAAATGCTGCGTGGGACTCCAACCCACCATCACTTAATTGAGATCACTGATCTGCTGTCTGGACTTACTGAGGCCAGGTGCTTTGTCTCACACAGAAGGAATTCAACAAGAGGCAAAGTAATAGATAAGATATAGATTTATTAATATAGGATGCTTGTAAGAGATGCAAGTGGGCAGGTTGGGGAGCTCTGCCCTGAGGATTAAGTGGGCTACAGTTTTATAGTCAAAGGAAACGGGGAGGGGGAAGACCACT